ATTTTTAATTACAATCTCTTTTCTTTTGGGGAATTAAAAAATTATTTAGACCTAATCTTCTTAGTTTTGTTTTCTTAAGTTTAAATCTTTACAACAAAAGACCACACAATTCTTCCATATCTGTATTATTTAATTATTATGCTTTATGACAAATTGATAAATATCATCTAGCCCTAAGAATCTCTATCACCTAGAGATAGCAATGCATTACATATTTCCTCAAATATTTCCATATTTTTGTTTACATTGCCTCCATTTAATTTGGAGAGTTTTCAAAATGAAAATAAAAGTTGAAAAATAAAAATCTGCCTAAAGTCCACTTCTGTGGAACATGGCAACCTAAAACAGCAGAAAATTTTCAAGAGCAGCAGAACCATGATGCTAATAGTTGAAGCCAAGTGATAGGTTCATGGGTGTTCTTAGAGTTTATTTGAAATTTTTCACAATAGAAAGGATTTAAAAATCCATTCCTGAGGCCATGCTGGAGAGAGAAGGTCAATACTGTGATGCCCCAGAGGGCTGCCTTGCTGGCAGTCACAGAGCCCCACCCAGACTAAGAGGGGGAAATGCAAGTGCCATGCTGCGTGGGGGGAGGTGCCCTGGGCTGTGCCCATGGGACCGATAGTTACAGGAGCTGGCAGCATGCGATGGAGCTTACTGAGTTTCTACTCTAACAGATTTTTATTGATTTATTGTTTAAATTAGTTTATCCTTTTAAAGTGACTTAATTGTTGCTAGTCCATTGGCATGTATGTGACAGGCTGCTGCGAGAGCAAATGTATTTGAAATACACTTTTCAGTAACATGGGTTTTCGAAAGTCAAAATTTTTTTTAAAAGAATGTCAGTTCATTTAGATTTTATTCTTTCAATATCACAAGTCACGAAGAATAGATTGTCATTTAATATTTTTATTATATTTTAAATTTCCAGCCAGTATGGTAAGTGATTTTCTACCCTTCTATTCATGTTTTCTCCTAGGATTACTATAGTTAAATAAGTACGACCCTTGGTTACTGAAAACAAAAAGGAAAAATATGCAGTTACCATTAACAACACTTTAGTGGCTTTCATCTGGTCTTTCATGTAATGAATAATATATTCTGCTGACATCAATAAGAATCTTACTCTGTATTATACAATATGACATGGGAAAATAACATGAAAAGGCATAGCCAACCTGTGCTTTTCTCATGTATACCAAAGGCTCTTTAAGATGTTCAGGAGGTGCAGCAGGATGACTGGGTAAAGGATACCTACAAGCAAAAAGAGGCAGCTAAATATTATATACCACTCTTTTTTTTTCTTTGGTACCGGGGATTGAACTTGGGACCTTGCGCTTGCAAGGCAGGTGGCGGAACCACTGAGCTAAATCCCCAGCCCAATTATTCTTGATAATTAACTTTCTTGGTAAGAAGTTAATTACCTCTATATTCCATATTATAAATTAAATAGAATATTTGTTATTTAGATCTATGCATTTACACAAGGTACAAGGGTCTAATGAAACTTTAATTCTTATAAGTTCCAAATTAAAATTTTAATTGCACGTTAAAAGTTAAAGTGCATGACAAGCTGAATTCATCAATTGTGGTAATCACTACAAATGGTCACATGAAAATTATCATAACTATCAATTCTAGCATATAAATATTATAACTTCAAGAGGAATTCTTAGGGTTGAAAAAATCCATTAACTTACCAACATATCAACTCATTTCATTTCTCCCAATTTCCTAATCTATATGATTATATATGTATTTTATAATTTAAATAACAAATATTACTTTTGATAATAGCTGTTTTAATATATAATACAAAAATTCACAGATTTAACAAAATTTAAAAATCTTAATGTATTATGTATTCTTTGTTTTCCAAGTAACATTACATTTCTTACTTAAAATATATACTTTTTATAAAAAAAGAAATTTAGTTCATAAATATTTGAGCCATTTTAGGTACTAAATACATGATAGTGATTAAGAAAAGATCCGCTGTTCTCAGGGACGTAACCTTCTACTGAAAACATTTAATAACTATGAAAACAAACAAACACAGAGAATAATATCAGCTAGTAATAGGTGCCATGAGAAAATGAAAGCAAGGCAATGAAACAGAAGTGATTTGGAAAAATGTGAAGGTCTGTGGGGAATCTGATACTTGAACTAAGACAAGAGTGAGAAGGAGCCAACCTTGCAAAGAATGAGGGGAAGAATGTTCTGGACAGAGAGATAGCAAACACAAGACTGTGAGGTGGGAATGTTTAGGATGTTTAATGAACAGAAAAAGCCAAAGCGGTTGGAACAGAATGATTAAAGTCCAGACTGGTATGAAATTATATACAGAAAGGCAAAAGGAAAACACAATGGTTCGATAATATCTTTCACCGTGATAGACTGAAATTAGTCTAGGACCTATGACTTGTACCTAGACCAAAACAACAATATTCCAATAATCAAGAATCACAGACAGAAGTCTCAAGAAATGTCTGGTCTAAAGTGGGACAGGAGCATACAGAGGATTAATAATATTCCAAATCAGCTGCCTCCCAGAGCCGACACACACAGAGTTCAGCTGTCCATTAAGAAACATTTCTGGGATGAGAAACAGCAACCTATCCCATCTAATCTTTAAGGAAGTTTCACTAATTGATTATTTCTGCCAAATTGCTTTTTCTACAAACTACATTCTGTGTACCTTTCCCCACTCAGAGACCATGAGTAAAATCATAGGCCTCTCTACTAGATACTTATATTATTATGTCTATTATATTATATATTGTGAATTAAAAATCTTACCAGTTATGAAATACATCTATGTATGTGGTGACTAGTACTACCAAAGGTATGGTCACAGACGATGTCAATGAACAGACAGCACTTATATCTGATGCTATTCAAGAATTCAAAAGCCAATTGGGAAGATGGTAATAAGCGAAGAAGTAAAAACACTAATTAAGAAAAATTTTGTATCAAAAGCATTTGTCCACAGACTGCACCTGAGTATTTTAGAAATAATCTAGTAAAGCTAGGTTATCTAATTTCTCAGTAAACAGGAGATTAGAAGAGGCAACTTGGAAAAGAAAATAGTAGAAACTTGAGATTCTAAAAACAGACAAAGTGATAGCAGTAAAAAAGAAAAGAAAGGAGATAGAGAGAAAAGAGGAAAACAGCAGACATAAGAATGCAGACTATAAACTCCATAAGAGTATTTTTATTTTTCTATACAATATCCCTAGTGCCTAGCATAGTACTGGTACATGGTAGGTACTCGATCAGTGATGAATAATGAGATAAACTACAAAAGCTAATGTTCTGGATGTATTTTTTTGTAATGGCAAACAGTTCTATAGATCTTACCCTGTTGGTAAATTAAACACAAACATTGATGTTCTTAATAATGACACCAATTTTGCAAAGGAAAAATGAAATTATCTTTAGAATGGTCTGTTTATAAAAAGGTTAATATCCAAAATTACAACAATAAAAAAAGTTAGTAAGCTTCAGTTATCTGAAATATTAAGAAAAATACCTTATTCCCTAATAATACTGGATGAATGAATTATTAAAAATGAATGAATTGGGGGAAAAAATGAATGAATTGGTTAAAAAATAAACCTCACCTATTCATTATCAATTCTCAGGCAAGACTGCAATAATTTTTTTGGTTGAGATAGAGTCTCACTATGTAGCCCAGGCTGGCCTCAAACTCAGCAATCCTCCTGCCTCAGCTTCCCAAGTGCTGGAATTACAGGCATGTGCCACCATGTCTGGCAATTGTAGTAATTTTTAATTTCATTAACTTACTTAAAATTCTAGATAAATACTAATGATAAATGATAATATAATATACATAGAAATATAAAGTACTTAGAAATATTGATTTTATTACTTAGTATAGCTAAACAAAACAGTATTTCAAAATAGGCGGAAAAAACTCACACATTCAGTTCACTATAAACAGCATTTTGAAGTTTCTTCTCCCAACCTGTTTTTTTAAAAGAGAGTAAATTGTATGAACATATTTTTTTTAAATAAACATATATCATAATGAAATTGAACTCATTAAAACTTTGCCATCACATTCATTTGTGAAAGAACTTTGTCAAGTGTCAGACACTGTAAATTAAGATTAAGGGATTATTTCCTACATACTTACTTGGCCCTTGGCTAACAATGAGAAGCAAAGTCATCAACATGAAGTTATTTTTAAGTAAAACAATTGCACATTTGCTCAAGATGAGAGGAAGATTTCATTCCTCCACTCTCACAATGCTCAGTGAGAGCCAAAATCTTTGGCTGTGGCCCCACAGATGCCATGGCAGATGTGCCGAGGGGCAGGGCAAAACTAGCTCAGCCCCTGACATAGATCACAAGTAATTAGGTACAATTAACTAGTCAGGAAACTGGGCAGCAGAAGTAGAGCCTTTCACTTGCCACCAGTAATATCTCAGTTCCCATGTGCAAGGGATGGTTTAGACAGACTCTCTCCTTGCTCTGCAGAAAGATTAAGATTTTCTTTTTGTTTTCTTTGGAAGAATAGAAAACAGAAAAATAATGTAGAAGGAAAAAGCCACACTGAAAATTTAAAAGCAACTCACTTAACTGAGGACATAATTCCCACACACGGGGGTGTTTTTAACCAGGAAGACAAACACTATTTAAAGCTGATTATTGAAGCAGTCATTCCCACAGTGTTCCTGAATTTTTGTTCTATCTTATTGCAATATCTGACAGTTCCAGTTCTCCCCAATAGTAACATACACAGCCACAGTTTGAATAAGTGACTAAAAGTCCAAGGATACTTAAAGAATTAGGGGGGAAATTACAAACCTGATATTTTAAAGAATTCTTTAATATCTTCTTTTAGTGATTCAAGTCTAATCTCAGGTCTCTGAAGACTGGCCTAATTTTTTTTTAAAAAAAGAAAAAAATAGGAAAGGAAAAGACAAGAGGTTAAAATTAAATCATGTGGTTTGGTATATAACTCTAATGAAAAATTTAAAAGGAAATGTCCAAATAGGAGTACTATTTGAAAAATCTGCACTGAGGTTATAGGACCTTAGAAATATCTGAATAGCTCATGAGAGAAGACTTTCTCACATGTTTTAAAAATAGAGTTTCTGTGATAGTATACTTCAGTCTACTCAAAAATTTTTAAAAACTTACAACTGATGAATATTTAATTTATTTATCTAGGGTCTCCAATAGGAAAAATACTCAAATTTTGTAAATCCATTCTCTGAATATTATATCCAACATATATGACATCTACAATCAGTGACCAAAATACCAGTTACATCCATGTAAATGTGTCTTTGAAAAATGGATTTCTCTTTGGATTGTTGCTAAGCTAAATGTATGCGCTGTGCATATTTATAAAAAATACATGCAACAACTAGTTCATAAATGTTTATTATTAATGTTTCTTTAATCTCCAAGTATATACTTTCTACTATACTGGTTTTTCACACTACAGTTTTACCATAAATAACATTTTCCCATTTGTAATGGCTTGGGACACTCTCAAAGTGCTCATCACCTAATTCTCTCATCAAATTCTAGAAGCATAGTTCTTAAGAAGATATTTCTATTTGAGTATTTCATAAGCATTCCAAACCTAAGAAATAAAAAATTGATCCGATCTTCCACTTACTACGTTGCTCCTTTTCTTCTATTTTTAAATCTTCATTGATGAAATTATCACCTACCAGTTCTTCAGAGTCAGAAATTTCAACGTTCTTCCCAATTCCATACTAACTCTTCCATAACTAAATTCCTTTCTAGAACGATGGCACTGGTGGCAGTGAATTTTTTTTGTTGTTATTTAATCTCCCTGATTTCCACATAAGAAAACAGACTAAGCAATTAGACAAAAAAACCAAAATTCCAAGGAAATCATTAACAACTAAGTGATAAGATATCAAACCCAAAGTACAATCAGCTAGGACAAACCAATGCCACAAGACCTGTATGGCATTAGTATCTGTACAGGATGAAGCAGAGGAAAGCAAGGTGCTGTCTGATGCATGACGAAACAAGAGAACCCACAGTCGACAAATATGCTCTGGAACACGCAATGAGCTAATTTTAGAATAGGAGCTAATCCCTTTTTACAAAGGCATATTCAGGAGAGAATAAATATTGATAGAGTAATCAAACTTTTGGGTGACAGGGAACTAATTCATTACCTTGAAAACTGTGAACAAAAAGGCATTTATCCTGCCTTCCCGTAGAAACTGAACCACTGAGTTACCAAATAATAAAGGAAGGGAAATGTCTCTTTATAAAAACATTGCAACTAATAACTAAAACACATATGATATAATCAGAGTATCACAATTTTGCAACCAATGAATGGCTAATTCTAGACAATGAGCAGAAATAGCTATTAATAGTCCCAAAGAGACAACCAGACAGTATGTGCTTCCCTGTAAAAGAACACTGTACTACCTATAGCCATGTCAAAGTGCTGTCACTTGGGTCTGGTAAAGCCTTGGAATCAGTTGTCAATTTACAAGACATACAAAGGACAGAAGAACATGCTGAGCAGCAGCATAAGTTTACAATCAGAAAAATCTAGGCTGGGGGGAATGCTAAGGTCAAATATCCCAGCTGATAAGTTGTAGGGAAAGGGAGGAAGGGAAGCAAATCTACAGATTTTTAAATACTTAAAGGATAACAAAATTATTTTAATTGGCAAGACTAAGCTATACTAAGGGATATACAGTTAGTTACGAAAAGTATCAAGTAATCCCACAAGGTAATTACCATAAACATCAGCTTGTCAGGGAGGGGAGGGTTTGAGATTAGGATGTGCAGAGGGATTTCTGGTGTAGTTGGCCAAGTTTCACTTCTTTTTACAGGGTAATTGCTACAAAGTCACCCACTGTAAAACAATACTTTATAGACTATTTTATTATAAAAAGATTTTTAAAAGAAATTGCAGAACTATGTCTCCCAATCTATCCTTTTCATCCATTTTGAAGACTCATCTTTAGTCTACGTCTTCATCACTTACTTGGATTACCGCAACCACCACTGAACCGAACATCTTTCCAACTGTACTCCCCACCTGGCACCCCCAAACTCTCTTAACCTATTTTTCTTCTTTCTTAGTATTTTTACCTCATAAAATACTGTACGATTGATTTATTTACTATGTTTATTGGTATATTGTCTGCCTAGTTACACTACTAAACTCCACTATGACAGCCATCTTTGTCCCTTTCACTGTTGTATATCAAGTAACCTACAATAGTTACTTTCACACAGGTGCTCAGGAAATGTTTATTGAATGAATGAACCAATTTCTCCCTTTTCCGATCTATCATCCAGTGTTTATCTACAGGCATATTTGTGACGTGTTACAATATAGACACAACTTGTCTTTACAAATTCGTCTCCTGCTGCTGCTCTAGCAAGCTACCATCTTCTATTTATCACACAACCACATACAATCTATTCTCTAGCCACAGTGAACTTTATTCACTGATCCCCAGACTCTCAAGTCCCTTAAGGGCTCCAAGCTTTTGTTCGTGGCCTTTCCTCAGACAGACGTGCTCCTTCACCATCTTAACAACCATCTAGTAGCCTCTAAAATATCCCTCACATATCCCTCCTTTCCCCACTAAAACCAGCAAAGTAAAATACTACGTTTCTGTTATCGCACATAACAGATTACAATGCAATGTTCAAAAATTTAACTTTTTGTTCAGACTATAAATTCAAGGACAAGGACCAGATCTTCATTTCTGCATCCTAAGCATTACTCTGGCAATAACTGTTGCTGCAGAAAATTATATTGAACAACCGAGGTCTATGATTTTTAGCCAATTTCCTCCAAAAATAAATAAAGATTTTCATAAAAATATTTTTAACTGAACAGAATGGTTTCCTGTCTCCCCAGGAAGATTTTAAAAGCCATAAAAATCCCTGCTCATTATTCAAAAGGACTGTGGCAAAAGGAAATAAACTTTACTAGCCTGTATTTGGAAATGAATCAGAAATAACACAATTTAAGGAATTTCAAGAGAGAAACTGGTTATTCTTTCTAAACATTTTCAATATTTCAAGGTCATTAGACCCCCTAGATATACTTTTTTTTTTTTACACCAAAAGCAAATCAAATTCATTAACCATCCAAGCTAAAGTAGGTCCGTGACAAGAGAAAAAGATGGTAAGGCACAGCAGTTCTAAACGTGATTTAGCAGAATAAACCCTTTTTGCAAACGAAATCTAAACACTATTAGCAATTCTATTGTATAAAGCACACTGAAGGTGATATTGCTATACAGTGAGAATAATGAGCCTTTTCTGATCGACTAACCTTATGGTTAACAATGAGAAGGTATAATTTTATTCTGAGACAGCCTCAGTATCTAATTTATTTCTTTATGCTGTTTTGGTTGTTCAACATAGAGGAAAAATTCCTGATCCACAGAGGTATTAGCATTTCAAATAGCTTTCCTCACCATCTCAGCACATTCCAAAATTAATATGATGCTGGAAACTGAAAGAGAAGTAACTGGAACTTTTAATTTGGGAGATAAACCCAAAAATTATTTACCACAAATGCAAAACTGAGACAAAGAGCTTCTGATACTTACAGCTGCTAGAACTAAGCACAACATGGTATCACTGCTCCAGGGTGTTAGGGTTGATCTGTCAGATGCCTCAGCACCAGACCATGGTAGGGGCCATGCTGGGCACCAGCATTGTGTTTGCCCTCGCCAATGCCAAGCAGAGCACCCCCACAGCCATGTCCTCACTTAGGCAATGCACCGGGAGCAAACACATTCAAGCCTAAATATTTTAAAAGACCAGTGCAGCAATGTATCCTTTCTCATCAATAACGCATTTGTAAGCCATTCCACATATATGAAGAAAGATAACAGAAGCAGGTTTTTCTGGAATCTTTCTTAAAACAAGTTAATTTGGAAGCAGAATAGTGTACTATGCACTAAATATTCGATAATGATTTGAAAGAGTATTGTTTCTCAGCATAACTTTTAATTAAATATTTTAAATGAATAGAGCTTTTCGAATATAAGATATAAGAGAATACAATTTGAAAAACACTTGGGACTAAATGAGAGTAGGATTTGGCAATAAAAGATCTGGAATTATCTAACAGCCTTATTTACTTGCTTGATCAAATCATTTAACCTTTCTGCATCTTAGTTTCCCTCTTTATTCAATGGGGAAAATAATATCCAAACTGAATTAAAGCTCAAAAAGAAAACTTTTCAGCCATTTTTGGACTATGTAGCCCAATATAAATTAAAGTTACTGTGCTATAAAATGTAAGATGTGCCCAGACAGCAAAGGATTAAATATTTGTAACAGACTGTCAGGGAAGGGTGTTAGTGGGGTTGGAGATAGAAGTTTTAAAAATATCTACAAGAAAAATTAAACCTTCTTTTAAACAAAATGCCACTACCTCACTAAAAGAGCTAAGATAAACTCCAGCAAGTGAGTAAACAGAAAACTCACAGTAATGGCCCTGCATACATCCTTCACCCATTTATTTAGGATGATTCTGACATCCTCCACCCTTTGGCATCCCTAAAAATCATATGGTTCCTCCTACCAATACACACACACATAAATCCAGTTTCTTTTTCTACTAGAACAGTCTTAACCCAAAGCCTTGTTGCTAGCAATTTTACATTTCTAATCTTGGTGAGTAAAAGAAACCACAGAAGCAAAGCAGCTGAAGAAGCAGCTGAAGTAGCAGCTGGGGCAAAGAAGCAGGGAGGTAAGCTGAGGCTAAATACTCCAGAAGCATAGAGCAGGGCATGAGAGTCTCAAGGATCCTTTAATTCTCTCCACTGTGGCCCCATCTTCTCTGCTTCTGATAATGCTAATCCTGGACTTCACCTCTCCTTCAATGCTGATGAATTA